CTCCCCGCCTGGAAACTCGGATCATTCCCTACCTCACAGGGGTGTTGTGAGGCTTTAATTAGCGCCCTAATGAGGGTGGCGGGCTCTGGGGGGTGTTGGGGGTGAGGAGGGGGTGACAAAAATCTCTGCTGTGCCCGTCCCGCACCCTCGGCCCGGGGGGGCAGGAGCGGTTCTCCCCCCTGACACCCCCGGCTGTTCCCCCCGAGCTGCTTCATCCTCCTCCTCCTCTCCCACCCCCGGTTCCGCTCTCGGTTCTGTTGGACCCGGGGAGAGGAGGAGGAGGATGGAGCCGGCGGAGGAAGGAGGGACGGGCTGGGAGTTCCATGGCTGAACTTTTGAGTTCCTTTGTACTGTACATCTTTTTACTTTGGAATTTGCAATAAAGAGTTATGTCCATCTTGTTTTAACGACTTCTCCTGCCTGCCCTGTGCTTCTGTTCCCTCCTCGCTCCGGGAATTCCGGGGGTGACCGCTCCGAAATTTGGGGGGTCCAACCCCAACCCCTGCCCTGGAGGAGAATCCAGGAATTTTTTGGAGGGTTGGAGAGGGATCCAAGGCTTTGAAACCCCCCCGGGCACAGCCCAAAGCTCATCCCGAGCCCTTCCCGGCCAATTCTGGCTCCTGGTTTTGAGTCACATCAACCCCGTTCCTGCAAATCCAGGGAATTTTGGACCCCCCTGGGGTTGTGTGTCCGTCCGACCCCCCCTGCTCGCACAGGAACTGCCGAGTCCCCCCCTGCTGCCACAATTTACATTTTAAAGCTTGGGAAAAAGGCCTCGTTTCACTCCCCCGAGCAAATCCACCATGTCCCGGCTCGGTTTAGCTTCTAAAGTATTTAACACGGGATATATTGGCCCTGTATCCACCAGGAATTCAACGACATTGTCCTCAAGAACAAGAACGAGCCAAGAACTGAGCCAAGAACCGAGCCAGGAACGAGCCAAGAACGAGCTTCCCCTGCCCAGGAGAACACGCTGAGGCCGTGTTTGGATTCCAACCCCTCCACGAGGCTTTACTGAGCTCCGCTTTTCCTCTGGGCATCCCCCGGGCTCTGCTTTTCCTCTGGGCATCCCCCGGGCTCTGCCCTTGCTCAGGCGCTCAGGATCCTCCTCCAGTGGCAGCAATAGACGGCGGTGCCCGTGAGGAGCACGGAGCTCAGGAAGGCTCCGAACACACCCAGAAGCACGGGCCGGAGCCAGCCCAGGAGGCCGCGGCTGTAGCTGGGGGGCGGCTGCCGCTGGAAGAGCATCTCCCCGGGCAGCGGAGCCCTCCTGGCCCTGGGCTCCGGCGGCCGCAGCTGCGCCGAGCTCAGGTGCTGCACGCTCCTCCTGTAGCCCTCCACGTTCCTCCGCAGCTCCAGGCTCCGGGCTTGGTTCAGGTTTTTCCCCAGCTCCCGGGCGATGTCGGAGCGGCCGATGTGGTGCAGGGCACGGACCAGGTGGTCCCAGGTGGTCGCTTCTCCTGCTGTCACCAGCCAGAGCCGCAGCGCTTCCGAGCATCCCCGGGGGCTGCGCCCGAACCGGTGGCGGAGGACGGGGGGGTTCCCCTCGGGGGTGTTCACCTCGGGGGTGTTCACCTTGGGGGTGTTCCCTTTTGGGGTGTTCCCCTCGGGGGGGTTCACCTCGGGGGTGTTCCCCTTGGGGGTGTTCTCCTGGAGGTTGTTCTCCTGGAGGTTGTTCTCCTGGAAGTTGTTCTTCTGGAGGTTGTTCATCTCGGGGTTGTTCCCATCGAGGTTGTTCCTCCTGGGGTTGTTCCCCTTGGGGTTGTTCTCCTGGAGGTTGTTCCCCCTGGGGTTGTTCCCCCTGGGGTTGTTCCGGTTGTTCTTCTGGAGGTTGTTCATCTCGGGGTTGTTCCCCTGGAGGTTGTTCCCCTCGGGGTTGTTCCCCCTGGGGTTGTTCCCCCTGGGGTTGTTCCCCTTGGGGTTGTTCCGGTTGTTCTCCTGGAGGTTGTTCATCTCGAGGTTGTTCCCCCTGGGGTTGTTCCCCTCGGGGTTGTTCCCATCGAGGTTGTTCCCCCTGGGGTTGTTCCTCCTGGGGTTGTTCCCCTCGAGGTTGTTCCCCTCGAGGCTGTTCCCCCCGAGGTTTTTCTCCTCGGGGACAGCTCCGGGAGGTTCCTCCAGGCTCCCCAGCTCCTCCTCGGGGCTGTTGAGCTCCGCCTGCAGCTGCCGGCACTCGGAGCCGGCCAGCAGCTCTGCGATGCGGCTCATGGTGTGCCGGCCCACGGTGGCAGCCACGGTGTCATCGCCGCGGCCACCCGAGGCCAGCAGGAGCAGGAGCAGGAGCAGGAGCGGCCTCATGGCTGGGCAGCAGCGGGGATTCGGCGTTCTGGGTGTCCCAGGAGCGGCCTCATGGCTCGGCACCAGCGGGATCCGGCGTTCTGGGTGTCCCAGGAGCGGCCCTGACCTCACAGAGCCCCGCGGGTTCCATCCGCAGCCCCGGCGGATGCTGAATGCAAAGAGGAGGGAACAGAGCCTGGCTGAGTCACGGGATTCTCATTTTTGCGCTCTGAATCCTCTCAAATCTCATTTCCGACAAAACAGGAGAGAGAACCCAAACAGCCCCTGGAGAAGGACAAGAATCTCTGCACTCAAGGGCTGATGTTCCAATTAATTAATGATGGTGATGAGCTGCTTTAATGAGCAGCGAGAGTTTCACCCCCAAGGCGTCTATGAAAGAAAATCAGGAATAACAAACTTTGCTGTGCTGTTTAACACCCAGGAGAGTTTGTGTCGTTCTTCTCGCCGTTCCCAACAGAGCCACAAGCCCCCAGTTTGCCCCCCAAGCGTTCCAATGTGGCCACGGGCACAAACGCGTCCCAAACCAGCAGCAGATGGAACCAAAGCTCGGTCACGCTGTGCAGGAGGAGCTCCAAGGCGATTTCAGAGCTGCCGCTGACATTTGTTCACCTCTGCGGCCGCCCTCGCTCCCCAGATCCTCACCCTGGAGCATCCCGAGCTCCACCCGTGGGGCTGACCCCGAGCTGGGGCTGCGCTCTGGCGTGGTTCCGCTCCTTGGGACACCCGGCCCGGCTCGGGGGAGCAGCCCCGGACCCTCCCCGGACCCTCCCCGGGTCCCCTCGGGTACCCCCGGACCCTCCCCGGGTCCCCT